CAATCTAATTTCATTTTTTCACTCATATTTATTATCTACCTATACGAAACTACTAAGACTATTATAATTTAAATGCTGAAGTATTTGCTTTACTTTTATTGCAATTTGATTTTAATAATATCAATACTATTTCATTGTTTGTTTTGTTCCTCATTGCCTTCATTGTAGGAAACGTAGACATCGCACGTTCATAGCTTAACTTCGCTTACATGCTAATTGCTCAGTAAATCATTACTTACATTCATACATACGTTATTTCGTAACTTTTCCACTTGTTACAAAAAAAAGAAATATATATATAAACGTATCTATACCAATAATAATATTGTAAATAAAAAATGCATCCATTTAATTATATTTTTACCTTTAAAAGATTAATGATAATTTATATACGTCGAGATAACCTACGAGTATTTGTAATATGCATATGTGTATAGGTAACGAATCTATCGTTAGGTACATTATAGTTAATTTTTCTATTAGGTATAGGGTTATAGAGTTAACTATATCAAATAAGAATTCATTTATTAATAAATGAATGGATGAATTGTTATTTTTTTGCTAAATAAAATATCTAAATTACATTTTATGTGTTTTCATTTCTGGTATTAGTAAACATTGAAACTGTTATAAATATAGCTACAATAAATATTTAAGTTAAGCAAAATGATGGGATAGAGTTCCGTAGCCGGGGACTCCCTTGGGTAGATAAGCGCCAGAGTATATAGTTTAACTAATGTTTGCGCAAGGGCATTATCTTACCTCCAGGCGGAAATAAATCGGTAGGGCAGGAAGACGATAAAAATTGTCACACGGCGAAGTAGACGACCTACTCGAAAAGTTTTAATGTCGCAGTAATTATATGAATAGTGGGTTGATATTTTTTAGTCTTATCAAACGAAATACATGAAATGAAATACGTTTGCTACATTATATTTTTGAGTAAGCAATCGTCATTTGCATTAAATATTCTCTAGACTCTATTTTTTTACTATAATCTTTTATATGATACATTTAATTGCATCATACGATTTGCTACAATCTTTCTACAAAACAGAATTACGGTTTATATTTAATAATAAACACAAGGAATATTATCCCGAGCAAAGCAGCAGGTAAGGCCAATATTTACCTAATTAAAACGATAATAATGAGTAATTCAATAAAGAAAATGAATCTTAATTCGTTTAGATATAGGTATAATACCTATTAGCATATTATCAGCTTTACGATGATGTGAAGCGCCGACAGTTGATAGGAAATTAATAAACAAGGAGCACATAACAGATAAGAGCAATTCAATTAGGGCGGTGGTTCGAGTGTTCAGACGCTGGTGACCCGGGGTCGCCCAACTAGTACCTCTTATCCGGGCGCATACTTTATAATAACTAATTACGGAATAATTTTCATGTTACCGAGGTCACACTGTTTAGCTGTCAAGTTAAATAGGTACTACGTTATGATAGGAACTGTATAAGCGAATACTGAACAGTCACTCTTTATAGAAATACATCGATGGGCCTCCGATTGTTACTTATTTTAAATGTGTAAGATTGAGTAGAGTTATTACCTATGTATTATGATATTTATATTTTTATCTATTAGTTAATGCACATGATGATTTTTCAGATATTAGTTAATGAAAGTAAAAAAAATCTAAGAACGATATTAAACTCACTTAAACTGTAGGTATGTAGATTAGAAATATGCAACGGAACAAAATCATAAATAATCTAATTCACTAATAGGCTAATTAACCTGATTTCATCTTCATACTAATCATCCTCGTATATTATTGATCAGCGTATACCGTTAGCGTAGGCGGGTGAACAATTCTATTATCGCCCATTAAAAAAAATAAGAGGTAAATCATTTTACAATTTTGAAATAACTTATTATTTTTTTCTCGAACCAATTGGAGAGTTGACGGTCATTTGATAACCTTTTACAATATGCGAGACAATTGTTGCCTTTTTATTTACTTATCAATGTTGAGTTCAAGTGGAACGTTATGGTAATTTATAAATAAGTAAGCGTATCGCTTTTAAGTGCCGCGACCTCCGCCTTCTTGCTGCGGTCGTCATGATTACCGCAAATAATTTGTGTCTCTGTTTTATACGATTCTGAAGTCCCGCCCTATTATTATAATTGGCTCAGTGAAAAAAGCCAGTCACCCAACATCCTAGCCTGGCTCAAAAGGAATGTTGTGATGGTAAATTTTGGTAACACGTATTTGAAAACATAAATGCATTTCTAAAAATAAGTGTAAGTAGGTGGTGGGTAAAAGATGGATTGGATGAATAGATGATGTTGTGGATAAAGATGAGTGGATATATATATGAATGACACAATCCAATTGAAATCTACTAATTGATATAAATATTATTAAATATAAATATTTTAAATCTAGCAAAACTTATAATGTCATTTTTTATAATAACCTCAACCAAAGAGTTTTCACCACAGTGGGACAAAATACAAATATGACATGAAACCAACCACAAGCTCTGCTCTATGCAATAAAAGTAATTAAATTGGATCATATAAAAATATTTAGATATTCATCTGGGAAGAGTTTATTTCAAATGTTTGGATGACATTGATGTCAGGCTTCATACCGGACTTTTCTTCATTCTTGATTCAAAGAATATATAGTCCATGCAGTCAGTAACAGATAAAGAGAGGTAGACTTATTTTCTTTTATTTTCATCTATTACAGCCGCCAAGCAGCTTGGTTTGTAAACTGAGTTTCAGTTGTAGGGTGAGATTAAGCAGTAAAATTACAGGATAAGAGGCATGACAGTGACATAGTGCAATATGGTGCTTGGTTCCGATTGATCACATTGACCTACGGGACAATTGAGTTTGAGTAAAAACACATGTTTCCTCCTTTCATTGAAATATGCTAAAATTAAATCAAAACTGTTATAGGCAACAGTTTTGATAGAAAACTGAATATCAACATACAACTTCGCTGTTGGTTTTCAAAATAAATTTAAAAAAAAAGAATTCGTATGGAGGTACTAACAGATAAAAACATACCTACTGGATTTACTTACCTACTTACTATGTATGTGGGCACTTATACACACTATATAGTTATTTTTCCTTTTAAATATTTGAAGTCAATTACAGATTACCTAATAAGTAAGGTACCTACTTAATAACATTTCAGAGGACTATTTCAATTATACCTCTTGTTTACTGCAACGATGAATTCATAAATGGGTGTAAACTAATGTGATCCATACTCCATATTAACATTAAAAACACGAAAGTGGGTCTGTCTGTTTATTACTTTTTCAAGACTAAACAGCTGAATATTTCAATGATATTTGATGTAAAGATAAATTGTATCACGAGTACGGCCGTTCGTTATTTTTCATCTCTTAAATAGCAGGCGGTGTCGTGGCCAACAATTAGTATAGCAATCCCAACTAGCGGTATGAGGAAGTACTTGAGAGAGCCGTGGTTTCCGTTGCGGGGCGCGCATAATGGTTTATGAAATTGAAACCTCATTGCTCGTGTATCAAGTTTCAACCGGGGATCTCATTGTCTGATTGTAAGCTAATGTTTATAAAACTATTATATTTTAAATACTAGTCACTGTCACCATATTAAATATTTATTTATTTGAAATACAATATATTATATAGGTACCTAGTAGACGACAAGACATGAGAATCTTATTCTTTTATTTATAGTGTACTCTTTTGCTATCAATTTATGGTAGGTACACAGGAGTCAGATCAGTCCTGTAACCTATTTTAGTTCATTCTCAGCGATTTCGTCATGATGATCTAACAAACCTGACTTCATGCTCATTCTATCATCCTCCACTGGTTCTCTGCGTAGGTATACCTACAGGCAATAGAATTGTACATAACATTTCTATTACTATAAAAAAATATATACCTATATAGAGTCTTCCATACGGAGATTCTGTAATGTATAAAGAAACTTACGCAAGGATAAGAAGTATAAAATTGTTTTGATATAGGTAAACATATGGGTACTTTATTTTTTTGGTGCGATTATCAACTACAGAAACCTAAAAGCTTGAATAATTGAAAATATTTATGATATAAGAATAATTATAACTTAATCATTTATTTTATTTTATTATATTTTAATTTTGTTAAGGTCCTTTCTATGTTATAATAATAGTAATTAAAGCGTGTATAATATTCTCCTACATCAGATTTTTATATATGTTTATGATAAAATTAATTAATATGTAGTGGTTTTTTCTTTCCGTATAAACTTCATATAGACTCTTCTCTCATATAGACTCTCTCTCTTCTCGTATAGACTTCTTTAAAAAAGATTTTCTATAGTTTAAAAAAACAGTACTCCTAAAAACAGGAATATATATAGATATGACACAAAACTAAGAAAAATTAATAAGAAAGAAAGCAAAGTATTAGACAAAAAAAAAACATTATTTAATAGAAAAAAATTATGCTACTCATTCACTACGCAACACAATGTTTTATACGTTGTGGAAATGAGTAGAGTAATAAGCTCTACTAAATAATAGTTAAACCAAATTAGACATTTTTTTTTAATATAACACATAAGCAAGTATAGTTATATATACTAACGTAATGATAACTTATTAAATAATATCTACTATGAACAGCATTTTGAACAAGATCTTAATCTTTTCTATTGCAGTAATTATTTCTAATAATTTGTTATAGTATGGTAGGCCAACTGGAACGCCTACATAGGTGTATAGGCAACTAAGGCAAAATAAGCATCTGCTTTAATTTATACCTAAATAATATATTCGGAAGTTCCTAACTGTCTCATAAAAAAATATCTATTTGTCATTATTATAAACACTCGGTTTTGGGATAAGAGCAGAAATTCGGTACATACTTATACGCACTTCTAATCCTGCTATTGGTATCTGTAGCAGGTAATTTTTTTCATAAGAAACTTGACTATAAACGGCAAGTAACAGGTAACATAAACAACTAAATATAAGTACTCACTTTGAGGGTTGAGGCACAATGTTGTCATAGTTAAAATTCCTTAACAGTTCTCCAACTGCCTCGTTTATCTCTACCTTGTCACAAGGTCTATCGTGCGGGTTCCAGCTCATCGTTAATAGCGATTGTAGTACAACGTTTGTATACAGCATACAGAATCTCAGTTGTTTAGTAAAGCCTCGTACGCACTGTTTATTTTACAGCTGAGCGCGTGTTGAGCGCGCGTGCGACCGACTCGCGCGCACTGACTATAAAGACTCCCTTATACTCCAGCGCATAACTATAAACCAAACCAACAGAAGGGGAACGCGAAACGCTAGATATCGTATTTTGTTTGTTTACTTTACGATTATCCGATTATTTGTTTATAAATATCGTCATGTATTCAAAGAAAAAAATATATAAAATTATCTTATTTATTCTGTGTGATATTTGGGATTACTATTCTAATTGTACAAATATTAAGAAGTATTATCAGGCTGTAGATACGATTAAAGCATTAGTCGCGGAAACATTTCTAATATAGTATAGATATTTTATGAGTACGTTTTTAAATGTTTGCAAATACATAAAAACTATTTTTAATAAATAAGTAATTGTCAAATTTCAAATAGTCATAAAATAGATAGGTACCTAATTTATTATCATTATGTAAACATAAAAATAATGACTAAGTTGAACTATCAAATTTCATTGAACATTGGCCAGCATATGTAACACTAAACAGTATGCCAGTTCACATTGCATCGTTAAGTTTTCCGAGATTTCCCGTTAAGCGGCAGTGGTGGGCGTTGCGTGTGCGCATGATAGCGCCGCCTCGTCGTCTGATTGGTGCATACCTATTGCCGACCGTTCTGACGTCACGACGCCCGCATCGTTATCTACGTGCCTACTGGAGATATATTCTAAACATATAATATATCCATTACAATGTATAGATATATATATTATTTCTAATATGTGATTTATTTTTAAGCGGGAAAATATCCTGAGCTAATAATTTAGGTAGGAGAGACTAAATATAATAAATGATATAGATACCTACCTATACCTTCATAACATGTACATTAACAGTAGTATATTACAAATAGTACCTATATTGTAAAGAAGACTAAAAACAAATATAATGCAACTAAAATGATTATATATTAACCACAATATCTATGTTGCATACCATTTGAAACTTTGGCTCTTTATTTTCAGGAACACAGTTGTATTCTGAAACAACTAGTAGCTATAGGTAGGTACTAGGCAAATGTAGGCGATAGATCGCTCAAGTCTATTATATCTACATAACATTAATACTCAATAATTATATTAAAGCATAATTATTATTAGTTACTTAATTTATTTATGTATTATATTCAGGCCTTTGAAAAATTTTGTTTTGGTATATATCTATTGTTATTACTTAGGTACATAGAATTAGGACTATATAATGATATAGTCGTACATAGGTATATAGTTGATATAAGTATGTAATATTATGTTATCTGCTGTTGTTTAGAGCCATTAGCAGTTGAAATTCTTAATCTTGAGCCTCAAATAGAAGTTCATGTCTGGTAAATTCGAGTAGTCACTTCTCGCTTGTCCTCAATCCTTATAAAGGAATAACGAAATAAATGATGTTGGAATTCCCTAATTCCAACATTTCCAACATTTGATTAGACGCCTTAATTATTATTATTTACAGGACCCTATAATAGGTACCTACTTTACTCGGCCTCTCGAATTTTAAATTGAATTTTCTTAAGTCTTTAGTCTCTGCATAATCATTTTTTAAAGGACCTAATTGGAATGACAAATAAACTGATGATCCACCTGATGGTAAGTGGTAACTGTTATCGATATACATGACATCACGTTATAATGCGTGTATCATATCATAACATTCATGTGTTATTATTCCGGGGATCAAGATGTCATGTCTCTTATCCTGTAAATTCACTGCCTAATTTGACTCTACAATTGAAACACAGGTTATGAAGTAAGATGCTTGGCTGAAACAGATGAGCCGTAAGACTGAGGTACCCCCGCAGACGACTTATTGCAAAGTGTACTTTAGTTACAGAAATATCTAGAGGGGAAAGTGTTATCACTGAAGTAAGCAGAGCAGTTCGAAGCAAAAAGTAGGTAATAGATATATCTGACAGTAGGTTGTTACTTAACTAAATACGTTTTCTGATGTTCTAAGTCTATTTGATTGAATATTTTCGAACTTTACTGGTAGATATATGTACCTGTTAATAAAATTAGCGAAAAGTTTCTTTTTTGTCGTAGGTATACCTATTACAATAACAATAATTTTTAATTTGTTGTATAAACATTTATACATCAATATTAAATGATGCTTACTTATACCTCTCAATGTAACATTTTTTTAGAATTAAGGAATAGTAACTACCTTTAATTGTGGCCGTGTGCTTGGAATACTCCGATTGATCAATAAACGTCGTTAGCTTAAATTTGGTAGACACCAAAAATTTTAGTGTCAATTCATACTTCTGACAGACTCCGATGATAGTAACACCGATAACAAACGACATTAAACCCCTTATACTTAAATATATATGTATAAATCTTTATTTACATCTGATAAGTTTTATTTATTAACATTCTGATTTTACTAATTTTGTCGTATACGTATGAATGTACCTAGTCTACTCTACATCGGTAATGGCCATAGAAAAGTTCATATCGAATGACCAAACATACGGACAATTAGATGATTTTCATTAAACCTTCCACTTCGTCTATTAGCACGGTCTAATTTTGTATCCAATTCTCGCAATGAAACTGCTAATTAAGTTGTCAAGGTATGCAGAAGATAGGTATGTAAGATACAACTCACTGTCCAGTGCAGTCGTAGCTGAAAATATGTTTTGGATTCTACCCACAAATATAGGTAGACATAAATATAACTAAGCTACTTACTGTACATAATAATTGCTCTTTACCAATTTATCCCAACAGGCATTTAGATAGTATTGGCGTTAAAATTCAAAACTTTACAATTTGCCTAAGTAGATAGTCTGTGGTATCGTAGATACAGGAAAGTAGTTCTCTATGTAGTCTGTGGACAAAGCGTCTCTGAGTCTGTGACTGGTCTGCGAATTAGGGATGACCTTTATAGAATCTATTATTTATTGATAAATAATTGACTTATCGATTATAATAGTGTAACAGTTAATTTTACCTAATATAATAATTTCTAAAATAATCGATTTTTAAGGCCTTTAAATACCTTCATAAATACCTCCATGATCTGTGCTGTTTATTTTTTAGTACATTTGTTTTTATTAGCCAGTGAGGGTATTCCATGTATTTTTATTATTTAACAATTTAGCAGATAAATTAAATAATAAACACTGGTCTTAATTTTGTCAAGTCACTTATGTGAAAAAATTGTCATTGATATAATTTGACTGTTAAATAGTAAATTTATAGGAATATTATGATTATTATCGATTATGAATTCTCGATTTCTATAGAATATTTGCAGATTTTTCATCGATTATATTTCCATCCTTAACGTCAACGTCAGATATTGTTCTGTGCTATTGTGACAATTGTTTATTTCATGTAAATTTGTCTAATCTATGAATTCTCTAGCTTCATGTTTGAATTTTATATAAAATCACGGATATAATATTGCAAAAAAATTAAACCTTCATGTTATTGTAAGCACTGTGCTTTACTTCAATAAATTATTGTACGTTTTATATATACAATGAAAATTGCTGTAGAAGGTTGTGCTCATGGAGAGCTAGAAAAAATATACGAATGCATAGAAACTTTACAACACAGGGAGAATATTAAAATTGATTTACTTATATGTTGTGGAGATTTTCAGTCCGTTCGTAATTATCAAGACTTGAGGGCTATGGCGGTGCCTGAAAAATATCTAAATATGTGCACATTTCACAAGTAAGTGACTACGTTTGTATTTATGATATTATTTTAATAACACTATGTAATGATCACCATTTTATAATTATTCACTAGAGTTAGACTGTAAAAACTCGCCAGAGTGGGTACCCCAATCGCACTTATTTTAGCTGCCAAGCACTTCACTTTTTAAATTGTTTTTGGATTAGGTAGTGAAATTACAGAATAAAAGGCATGTCATCTTGGTTCTCTGGAATGACAATGCATGAGTACTATCACAGTTAAAACATGTTAATATAATGCCATAATTATTATAACTATATGATGAGATGGGCCATTAGCTTGTTTGCCTTTCCAATAACATAGACAAGATTATAAGGAAACTATTAATTTGATAAGTTTTACATATTTTAGTATCTTTTCTTTTTAGCTCTAGACAAGACTAGAGTTCCTTGGCAAAACCTTTTACTACAGTTCTAGTTAAAAGTTGTGTTAACTGTGATTTACAGGTATTACAGTGGAGAAAAAAGAGCACCAATATTGACTATTTTCATTGGTGGCAACCATGAAGCATCAAATTATTTGCAAGAACTTCCATATGGGGGGTGGGTGGCACCTAACATTTATTATCTTGGCAGAGCTGGTGTCGTCATGTTTGGAAATTTAAGAATTGGAGGTACATATCTCACTTAAATATTAATGTTTACACAGTACTGCAGCATAATACAGTTAGTGGTGTTATATTGTCTACTCAATGCCTAAATTATTTGAAAGTAGAATTAAACAATTGTTTGCCTTTATTGTATAAACATCTTCATATGAATATGCTGATTTTCTATGACCACAAAGACAGTTGTTCAATTATGGTAATCAGTGTAGCTTACCTGGTTGATACAAGTCTAACATATTATTCTCAGGTGGTATTCTTGAGAACAATATATTAGACTTGTATCTAAGCTATTGTATCTATGCAAGCTGACAATGCTTTATTGATAACGAGCTATGCGCCCCGGCTTCGCCCGGGTGTTATTATATATATAAACCTTCCTCTTGAATCACAAAAAGTCCATTGCTTAGTTTTAAAGATTTATGCATATATAGGTATGAACAGACAGCGACAGAGACTTTATTTAATACTGTATCTGTAACTCTTTTATAATGTAAGAAAGGTTTGCTAGGTCAACAATAGTAACAGTATGTCTCTGGTTTAAGGTTTATCTGGCATATTTAAGGGACATGACTATCTACAAGGGTTGTGGGAATGCCCGCCATATTCCCAGAGTTCTCTACGGTCAGTTTATCATGTAAGATCAATTGATGTATTCAGATTGAGTCAACTCCAAGAAAAAGTGCATGTTATGTTATCTCATGATTGGCCAAGAGGCATTACAAATTTTGGTGATGTTGAGCATTTATTGAGAAGGAAACAATTTTTAAGGTATCTATGACTGTACTATACTGTTTGATTTGTACTTATAGCCCACAATCTGGATGTAAGCACTTTGATAAATTATTTACTGTTAATATTTTTCAGGGAAGATATTGAATCAAATCAGTTGGGTAGTGTACCAGCAGAGACTTTACTGCACACACTGAAACCAGATTATTGGTTTGCAGCTCATCTACACTGTCAATTTGCAGCACTTGTTAAACATGAGGATGACACAGAAACTAAATTTCTTGCATTAGACAAATGTTTACCAAAACGGAGGCATTTGCAAATATTGGACATCCCTGAAAAATATGATGGTGACAAGATCCTCAAACTAGATGTAGAATGGCTAACTGTATTAAAAAATACAAACCATCTCTTGAGTGTCAAAAACATGGATTGTCATATGCCTGGACCAGGAGGGAATGAAAGGTATAATTACTATTTTATCTAGATATAAAGAGTAATCACAGTGACATAGTATAATTTTAATCATATTTGAAACTAATTAAGGAAATCCTAATCATAATATATACAGTGCAACCTTAATATAACATACCTCAATATAACGACTTCCTTGATTTAACAAATTATTTGTAATCCCCTTGAATTGTCCATAGGAGTCAATATAAAATATACCTTTACATTGCGAACATTCTATGCGAACAACCTTTATAACGAATTTTCAACTATCAAGAAAAAGTATTCATACCTCTAATTAACAAATTTTGTCAACCCAAAACCTTTATATAAAGTTCCCACCAATAATATAACTCCTAATCTTATCTTTATCTTTAATCTTATAATGTGATTTATGTCTCGACATGTTTCGACAAGCTTTTGTTCGTAAAGTAATTTTTTGTTCTTTGATGTTTGATGGAAAGTAATGTAAACACGTCTGCTCGTCACTATTGTTAAAGATTTAAGTTAAAATGACTCAGAAACGTAAAAGGTGTTCCTTATCGGTCGCAGAAAAGCGAAACATCATTAATTATGTTGACCAAAATCCTATGACGAAAAAATTAGACATTGGCTACAATTTTAAAATTTAAAGATAAGTTTTCAGAAGAAAGTGGTTTGAATGTAAACAGTAAAAGATTAAAATCATGCACTATTCTTTTACCTCTTTATAACGAATTTTAGACCAACCTAACCTCAACATAACAAATCTCAGTTCAACGAATTACTTGATATTACGAATATTTTCTTGTTCCCCACTGATTTGTTATATGGAGGTTGCACTGTATATGTAATTATGTTATTCTTTATAAGATAACATATTTACATATATATATTATGATTAGTATTTCCTTAATTAGTACATATTAAAATATATTGCACCCATTTTAAACTTAATTATTTAATTTTTAGGTATGATTTTACACCAACAGTAGAGGAGAAAAGTCAGATTTTGAATTTATTGCAAGACTTAACTATTAAAGAAGGTAGTTTTGTTAGGACTGCACCCATTTATGATTCCAAAGCTCCAAAATGTGCACCAAATAATCCAATAATGAATCCACAAACAGTAAATCTCTGTGAAAAATTGGGAATAGATGATCCCCTGCAAGTGGTGATGGCTCGATCTGGTAGGGCCCTTACAGAGCCATCATCTAATGATAACAATGTTACATCCACTAGTGAGCTAGTCACAAGTACTATGTCTCTTGCAGACCACACTCCAATGAAGTCTAAGTTATTGTTGCCACCACCCAGTACACCCAATGAATGTGATAGTGAAGATTCTTTAAAAAAATCAAAGTGTTCTACAGAAAGCACATTTATTTCCATAGACAATATGGAATCTACTAATGACTGTTCTACTCCTACCTCAGAGGGCACAAAGAAAACCTTTAAAAGACGAAATCTATCAATTTATAATACACCTGATGTAGAAGATTCTATAAGTGACACATCTAGTGGTCTGGTAGATGCTGAAAGCCCTCGGTCAAGTAAATTACCATTTAGGACCAATATATTATAGTGATATTTAGTTACTTAGTGCTATATAAAAAATAGACATAATCACAATTTTATATTGTATATTTTTTTTAGGATGGTAATAGTTGACAATTTAATTAATATCAATATATTCACAGACTGCAGTCTCAGGTGAAAGGAAAATTAATTTACATTTTGATTATGAATTTCAGACAGAAATTGGTATTTATATATTCATATACAAGATATGAAATTGATTGTTTGAAGTTTATACACTGCATATTCTATGTATCTTGTTGGATAGCTGATTCATTCAGAAATGCACATTTATCAAGGAAATTTTTTAAATAGGTCTAGAGGTTGGAAAGTGAGCCAGTTGTTTTTATTTTAAAATGACAATAATTTTGTATTATGGCATAATAATATACATTAAATGTATATTTTTTTATATATTAAACTAAACAATTTTCGATTATATCAAATATCACAATGAATAGAGTTTAGTGACACTGAAAGTTATATACTTAGTGTAACTAATAATATAGACAATTACTTTAGTCAATTTTAATTGTAAATGTAATGATAAATATGCATAAAGAGATTTATATAAATGTAGGATAATTGGTCACATTTTTTGACGTTAATTAAAGTAATTTTTTTACACACACACTTTTTTACCTACGTCATTATACTCCAAATCACATTATGTAACATAATTTACATTATTTACAACATATTACATTTAGTTGAGCAGAAAAGAGCTGACAATTATGAACACATGATTTTTATATTACTATAATAATAATAACATTCAGTGATTATTTTCAACCCAAGTTTATTCCGAAGCTTTACAAGCTTGCCATTTTGGTTGGTTTAGTTTTTATACGAGTGTTCAAATGAAATATCTAATTAAATCATATTTAAATTATTGTTGTTGTATATACACTGTTGCTATGTCTACTCTTACTTGGCTCCAAACGTCAGCTAACTTTTATGGATAAAGTCCGAGCAGAAGTAGGCAAAAAGAAATATCAATATTTAAAGTGTAAGTAATGTCCTATTTCTTAATCTAAGATTTTTTATGTTATGAGAAACCACTTTGTAAAGCAGATATAGATTAATATTATTCGAGTTTTCTAAATATCTTAATATATTAGGACTGCTCTCATATTAGCAATAAAAAATATAAATTACCAAAGTCCAACAATTATCGCGTTACCTGTTTTTTTAAAAATAAATGTACATTTTTGTTATACATTTATATTGTCTCTTTGTTTTATACTACAGCGATATAAATAATTTTCAACATTTCTAAATTATCACTCGGTCAAGTGTTCTCTCTATAGTGAATTAAAATATTATAATGTTTGGTTCATATATCTGGCATAATCTCTTCTCATCTCTGGAATATCCTAAAAATATTTTTACCATTTAATCCCAATATTTCAATAATACAGAAAAATATATATATTATATTCTAAAGCCTTGAAAAAACTTAACTATTTTTGAAAATTGACAGGTAATGCAACTATTTTGGACTTCAGTTTTGAACGCAAGTGCAATCGAAAATTTAGTGGAAATTTAATAGTATTAGCATATAGATTGATAGGTAATTAAGTGCAATCTGACATTTTATACTAAGACTGCTGTTGTATAAATAAAAATGTGAAGTTCGACATATTCTATTTTAGAGCTATTTACTATTGGATATAAACATATATGAGATCTCATTTCAGTCAGTAAAGTCAAGCAATGTGTTTTATGTTATATGTAAGATTTAATTCAGATTTATCCATACAATAATGTAAACCTAGTTAGTAAACTAAAGGAAAGTTAGTTAACTAAAAAGAAAACAGTACAAAATGTGGATTTAGAAAAACAATGTTGAGCTGAATCTAAATGTATGTATGAACTGTATGCATCTTGCAATAAGAGTTAGTGTTATGTGAGTTAGTCTTCTTATGTCAGGTTACTATTATTATTACCATTTCATTACATTATTATTGTTGCTAAATGAGATAAAAAAAAACTACTTCTGAAAGCATTACAGGGCAATTGTGGAAATTGGGATATTAATGCAGTTACCCTAAATTTGTACATAAAACGCGATGTTATGAAATTTAGAAATGTAATTTCAGAATTGACTTCTATCTTAGATATACCTATATACCTATATTCTGTTTCAATAGAACTCACAAAAGGTAAACACAGAGGTCTTTCTCTATTCCGACCATAGACTGTGTAGTGATGACCAAAATTATGATGAATAAAAAATAAACTAAACTAAAAATACTATAGATATTTCTTAGTTATTAAATAAGTTAAAACTTTGTCTAAAATAAATGATTCAATAGATTAATCGAAATATTCTAAACAATTAAATCTTTCGATTCAATACAAGTCTATAACTTATTTATTCTATGATTTGTATTGAATGCATCAATAATTTTTTTTATTGTGTATATTATATGACCTTGGATAAATGTAGTTTTAAAAAACATGTAATTAACCATTTTCTTTCAATTTTCAAAAGATATTTTTAAAATACAATGTAATAAGTGAAAGCAAACAAATACTTTTACTAAAAGTAATTATATATATAATTAAAATCATCATAATTTTCCATTCAGTAAGTGCTTATGTTATATTTTTGATGATAAAATGTTTGTTTACCTTTTCTGTAAGTTATATTAAAATGGAGTATAAACATTTAAAGTTAAAATATATTTTTATAAATGCTACAAGATATAGCTTATCATGAATTGTGGTCTTCTTTTATGTAATTGATATAATTTAACATAAATTTTTTTATAAATTGTTTACTTTATACAGAACACTTTTTGTTAGTGACAATATGTTTTGTATTTTATGTGTAATGTTGAAAATTATTTTAGTGGCATTTTTGTATTCAATTAATCACCCAAGACAAATTTCTCTCACAATTGAATAGTCAGTGATGAATGTGTTTAATTTACTATTTCACATGAGTCAGTAAATGCTCTTTCAATTGTGGCATGTTTTTAGGTTTGAAAGTACATTGATTACATATTAATTCTGTGGACATTAAACTCTTGTGTTGTTCATTTGATATTTTTTTGACTCCCCCGTTTTCTTTTATACCTTTCAGGACATCTGAAAATGAGAAAAATACTTAATAAATCTAGTCACCAATTTTATTTAGATATTTTTATATTATTACTCCACTGTTAACAGGTCAACTCAATCTAGATGAAACAGAATGTGGAGCTAGAACCTTATATAAAATAATAATTAAATTTGAATAGATTTCCATCAGGTTATAATATTAAAAGGAGGAAATATTACTCGATTAAATGTTTAAAGTGTTGACTTATCATTTTTTAACCAATTTATTTTAATTCTCTATTAGCTAACTTTAATACATGAAACGATTCTCACCTTGATATGGTATAAAATAATTTGTAGTAAAACTATTCCAATGTACTTTTGTTTTTAAACATGGTGAGATCATATCAGTGCTAATGACATGCATATGCAACCTTTGCATACTTGGTACAGCGTGAAAGCCGGCCCGAAGCGAACTCTCCTTATGTTTGTCTTTTAATTCTCCATAAAGTCTTCCAAATTCTTCTAACAGGCTAATATGTTTTTCAGTTAGCTTATAAATACTGTTAATGTCCTCGTAAGGCAGTATCAGGTAATGGATTTTTGCTTTCGGGTATTTATCCCTTATAACAACTATATTTTCCGTTTTTTTTACTATTGACTCTGGGTCTTCCATTGAACCTAGAAGCCCCAAGGACCAATGCCTTGGTTGTTTTGTTGTACCTGATCCTGCCATTATACCCAGCTTTCTCTTACTCATTATCAAAAAAATTACTTTGGTATTTTTACACAATTATTTTATTTATGTTAATAAAACATTTGTAATATATTAGCGAATTCCTATTTTGATATTTTCACGAAATGATGGCATGCATGACAATTATTGACCTTGATTGATGGCTGTCATTATTGACTGACAAATTGAAAGCAGTCAGTTTAGTGTTCGACTCGTATCTTAACTGTACTATGTCTATAGCATGTCCATAAGAAACATGAGAAATAATAAATAAAAAACGATAATGAATCTGGTTAATAATGAAATATTCGGTATCAATTTCGTAGAAACAATGATGTGTGGAATATTGTCTTAATTAAGAATATTCGCATATTAATATGAATGAGTCTTATTAGGTTCATTATCAATTGGTTGTCAAAATTGCAATAACCGTTTTGTGCCTTTGGCTCAGTATTTAATACTGTGTCAAATGTGAGACTATATACCTATCGGTTAATTTTTAGTACTTACTGCTAAATTTCATCAAAACAATGAACTGATGTAGATAATTATTCGGCATTTTTACAACAGACGAAAAATATTTTCATCTATGCAACGTAACAGAATAAACCATATTCTGAAAATTACCACTTTAAAATAAATAGGTATTTATGAATCCAGATTAGAAGTAATTTATCCATTCTTTGCCTAGACATATTTCTGTCACATCTGTCTGTAAGTTTGTTCTTGCTAATCTCTGAAACGAATGGACTGACTTTAACGAGACTGATGGCCAGATAGCTACTGTTTAAATAGGCTTTTATTTTAGTTTATTTTAAATACATAAATAAATTAAATTCCACGCTGATGAAGTCGCGGGCAACAGCTAGTTTGTTAAATTATTATTAACTAAGCCAAAAATAGTATTCTTCAAATTAAAGAAATAGGCATCTATAACCACCTGTATAAAAATATCATTTTGAAGTTATTAATCCTACATTTTTTTGTAATTTAGAAATCTCTATCTACGACTCTACCTGACGGTATTCGACGAGTATTGGTATAAAAAAGGAAATAAAACAGCATGTGCAGCATGTACACTTTAATTATTAAAATAAAAATATCTTATTTTGTCTATTCATAAATAAATAGGCTAATCCTAATTTATATATTAGAATAAGTTGGTGCATGTTATACAATCAATTTTGCAGTATTTAGCGTTTTTTTTAATTAATTTAACATAGGTAGGTTAGATTCTTACTCAGACGTCAAATATGTCATGATAAAGTAAATTAGTAAGGGTCCAATATTGTAATTATTTCCGATAACAAAACCATTCAAACCTTGTAGATTGCAAACAAATTTAAATTGGCGCAAAATTTGTATATTTGTGGTCATATCACTCTCTCTGACATGACAAAATTAATAATAGCGCAGAAAAACAATATTAATAATATTATGAATGTAGGTGCTCATATCTTATCATGTTATTACTCTCTCTGAGATATCACCTATGTTCAGGTAAACAGGTTCCGTAGTTCAGGTTCAGTAGAAATTTAATAATAATGTATTAATTAGCTAAAATCCTTTTTTTATGTGGGTCTAAAATTTAATTGTATAAATGACTTTTTGCCTATTTTGCTCTCACAGCTGCTATACCTCTACCTAGACATTACTTTTTTAGTACCTACCAAATAACCTGCAAGCACTTTTTCATACCGTTTAATTTACCGTTGTATATAAAATGCACTTATCTAATTTGTCTACCTTAGCATTTGAACAATTATCTATGTCTTACTTAATTCTACTGCTATTAGAACTTACTTAATTTAAATGAACTATGGCTAAGTAGTGATTGATGGTCATGACTGAAAAAAATTAAAGTAATACTTACGTAAAATATACCTACTTGTTATTTTTCAGTCATAAGTTCAAGATTTAAGCATAATTTATTAACTAATTAGAACTATCTATGTACCTATTTAATAATTAAATCTACATCTCTAACGAGCAAGATGTACCTAGGTAGATAGCTAATAAAACGTAAATTGTGACAAAGGAAAGAATATAAACTCGATGTTCATTCCCATATTTATATCGTATATAAACCACTACTACTACTACACCCAGATGGGTACTAGTTTGTGAACCAATAAATTAAGGATTAAAATAATATCAGATTGTACTACATGTCAGAAGCTGATTGAACTATATATATCTGGTATTGATGTAGGTACCATAATTTTATACCTAATATTTTACTTTTTCCTAGTTTACGTACATAAGTAATGTCCATATTAAGTATGTAACAATATATAAAGAATTATAATATTATGTATATTTCTAGCGAAAAAATCGTACAATAAAAATTCGTATTAAGGATGAATCACAGGAAAACCCGTTACTGCTTACATTCAAGTTACGGTACCCACTTATACACAAAATAAATAAGAATTAGTTAGTACCTACATTCCGCGTGTTTGAATGAACCTGGTGTGAGCTGAAGTGTTGTCTTTAAGGATTGCGCTCACTTTCTTGTCTCATAATTTATATTTTAACTAGGTAATTATTTATTCAGTTGAATATATTAAAGTTTGAAAGATTTATTAATTTCCATAGGTCCATATCTATTACTTAAACCAGGGATGAGCAACGCGTGGCCCGCGGGTAGCATGCAGCCCGTAAACATGTTTATTCGGCCCGCCAAGTATTTCTAAAGTTAAATTTACTTTTTCGTCTTTCTCCCATCAATATATTGTTATAAAATTCATTATAATAAAATGATAGTACATACTAAACCGAAACATTTTTTTCTGACGATTTACTCACTTGTCGGCGACTTGTTCACACATGCAATACGTACGTGAGCCGCGTCTGCGCGTGTTTTTAATTTGCATTAAAATTTGTATGTGAAATCTTTACTACCATTATATTGTAATGTTTATTATAAATGAAATTTTGTAAACTATAATAAGTTACTTTATGTGTGGCTCGCCAATATATTTTAAAATTTAAATTGGCCCGTCGATGCAAAGGTTGCACACCCCTGACTTAAACCATTGAACTAGCTATCTACTTACGTAATGTAGACACTTAAAATGATTGATTTCTTATGTTATAAATAAATGCATTTATTACAAATGAAGTGCGAATAACTTCTTAGATATTTTCACCTTGTCTGTTTTCATATACTACTATCTAATTCTTTGTTCAAGGTGCTAAAGTTAGCACCTTCTCCTGGTCTTCACTAAAAACGATCGTGGTTAGAGCATAATGAATTTGCCACTATGACTTATTGACTTTATTCTCATCCTGTTTTGTCCCGCTAATGCATCGTCAGAGTACACCGTTAGCGCGAGTGAATTTACTATTCTATCATTATATGCAAAAAGTTATTGTACTGGCTTTATTGAACACATATGCCCCATGCCTCTGTTTATTGCGCGTTTTTTTTAGCATAATGTTTCTTACAAATCTACTTCAATCTGACAATAAGTATATAATACATATAAATGGGTATATTGTGTCACAGACTAAATAACTACCGAAGTCTGGCTATATTGCACTCAAAAGCAAGACAATTTAAACACGTGTTAGTCTTTGTTCCAAGATCTAGATCCTAGTCATTATTTTATATTATTGGTAATCTTGATGTTAAATACGTAAATTAAATTGAAAATATTGTTACACTATCGGCCACTACTCGTCTATTAGTTACGATGATACTTATTTTCAGATGTATGAATGTATTGTTTCAAAATGTTATTGTTTGTTTAACATCATATCTAATTGAAATATTAAACTTGGTAGTTGCAATTGAATTTGTACCTACGCAAATATTCCTGTATTTGCGTGAGTTGAATATCATTCTCGAAATTAGTTTTAGAATATCTTCCTGCTTTAACCTCACCAATATATTTTTGCTTGGAATATACTTTTTAAAGGATACACCAATAATTATTTACCAATAACGACGCGACCGGCAGTAGTGCTCGAACTAGATTAATCATGTTGCATTCGTAACAGTTTAGCTGTTTTTTTAATTAACTTATGAAGTACGTGAGCTTTCTGTGTAAATAGACTAAGTACTTATTAGGCATTCTGTGATACTGCTTAAATAATACTTTGTGCCGCAAACAAATGCTTTTTGCTAATTGAAGCAATAATGAGTTTGAATTAAGAAAATCTCTTATAATGTAGATTAAGAAATCTAGATCATTGTACGGTTGGTCGGCCAGCGTAGCCTGTGTCAGGCAGCGAATGGTGCGCTAACTCGCGCAGAATCTGTTCGAATCCTTTCCCGGTTGGTGCTTGGATGTTGTTGTTTTTGAGTATTGTTGCATTCAACTTGGTTGCTAAGTAGCACATCTGGAAATACACTATCATTATTTAGGGCCCTTTTTATTTCGTTATTTATCAGTTTTGAAATGTGGTATTGGAGAATTATGGAAAGAATTAGCTGGAAGATAAAATAAGAAATAAAGAAGTACTTAAAAGGTTTAAATAAAAGAGATAGATTGAAATTAATATTGAGAATAGGTGTGTAATAATGTCGGGGCACTTGATACGACATGACGAACTCATTAATAATATTATCGAAAGATAACTAGATGGAAAAAGAGGAAGGCGAACACTAAGATACAGCTATATCAAGCAAGTTAAGGAAAAAGATAGAGTAGTATCGTATCAACAACTAAAAAGATTGATAGAAGATCGTGGAAGGTGGCGAGAACCCCACCGAGCACAGTTCTTAAATTATGGATGAATAAATGAATTTTTGGTTTGAAAAAATATATTATATATGTTATACCCGTAGTTTTACTAGCTAATTTATTATAATACCTTTTTGTTTGTAGAGAATGTGATGACTCATCTAACAAAAATTGAAAACTCCGCGTTATTATAATATACATAATTATTATATAGTAATCACATATAGACTACATTATACAATTTTCAATTAATACAATCTTAGACTCTAGAGGCTCAACTGTTAGCATGAATAGTAATTAAAGATTATTTTCTTATGTACTGTCGGTAGTTCTTCTATTAGGTGGCGTGATAAAGTTCTAATGAATGACATGCCAATTTGTTATATAAATTATTGTATTGTAATACACTATGCATATAAATTGTATATGTAGGTTCACTTACCAATAAAGCTGACATAAAGAGTAATGCTCCCAGAACTACTGCAACCATCATTGAGGTGGCACACGTCGCCTCTAATGGCGTTCTGTGGAACAACTCTCCTGGCATTACAACTGTATATTCTAGGTTCTCCTTGAACCTTGTATACGGCGTTGTGCCATTGTTGGTGCTAAGAGCCGAGTTTGTAACGTTGCGGTTTTCAATTACTTCAGGCAAAGACCTTCGTCGCCGCCCATGGCCTGCAGATGTTACCGATTAATAGGTTATTTTCATCTATTTTCTTTATTTGAAACGAAGTAATCAAATAGACCAATTATAATTTATTATGGTTTCTTGTAGACATGAATAAAAATCAATCTTAGTATGGTTTAGATATAAGAGATTAGGAGAATGTAGATACCTGAGGGTTCAAATAAGTCAATGCAGTAATCAGGTTGACAATCGGCTGCATCCATGCAAGCTTTGATTTGTGAGTGTATCCAAAGAGTAGAACGTTCCTTCATAGAGGCCAGTAGAAATGCTTCAAAGTCTAAAAAGACCTCATTATGTCGTTCTCTGTATCTGGCTGGTTGGTGTGGGATAATTGATGCGAAGTCACGGTTACGGCACCTTTGTAAATAGTATATAAGAATGATTATTATAGTAACATTGTCATAATAGTTCCCTAATAAACACTGTAGTACTTACATTAGTTAGTTGATCTTAGGTACCTTTGCCTAAGTAGGAAAAAGTTCTTAAGAATGTAGGTACTTACATTGTCAGAGTACAAAACACTATACACATAAACAAATGCAATATAAAACGTGTAAGTTATATGAGAAGTATGTAAATTATGAATCTATTTATATTGTGAGGATCTTATAGAGTCATTGTTTCTTAATCCCACACCGAGAGTTCTAGATACGCAGAAGTTATCTTTGTATGCTTCAACGGTAAAGACGGACACTCTTTTATGTAGCACAGGGAGTAACGTGCTTTCAATAAGTACTTACATCTAATGATTACCGAGTTACCGCGGTCACCAAATAATTCATCATAAATGTACAGATAACACACAGTGCTGAATTTATGATTAGGTACTTTATATAAATACACATTTTGCTAATAGTCCCTTGCACGGGAATTCTATCCACTGCTTCTAGGATTCGTTTTGTTATCTACTCATTTGTTTCGTTTTTCCATATTAGTAGAATAGTAGTAAGTGTAGTAAGGGAATAGTAACACATGTAGTTTTGGTAAAGGTGAGAATTACATTTTTTATTTGTACCTATTATACAATCTTTTGACTTTCAGGATGGTTAGGTATACTTACCATTATCACTTAACCAAGAGTCACTATACATGCTAAATAAATATGCAATTTATTGTTAATTGAAGCGAATGTCAATTGTTAATTGAAGCGAATGTCAGCGTTGGATTCTGCCTACTCCAAAAGAGACCCGGCGTGAGTATATATAGATTCGTAGATAGATATAAATACCCGTCTTTCACGAGCAGTACGGCACCCGGTGCGTGTGGACGGTCGGGGTCCGGAGATACAGCCACTTCTAGCAACTTCAAATGACGCCATGCAGATTCAGCGCTAATGCGCGCGCGCAACTGCAGCTTTGTGCCGATCGGTACCGCCTGAGAATAATTAGAATTTAACTGCAGGCACCTTCGGCATTAGTTTTGATAGCTGGATTCCGGTTCAATTCAAAATTGTATTTTCTTTATAATAAAATATTGCAGTGGAATTAGTAAATAACGAGATGACTGCAAACAAGGATGAATGAAAGTGAATAGCAAATGATGATGATTGTAGTGAGATTATAGGGTATAGAGACATACCAATACTAGGCCTCAGGAATATAATGTCAAGCAGCAGGTAAATCGTTAGCTGTAATGAATGATAAATCTTAGTCTTCCCGAATGGCAACGCATGAGTACACAGGCGTTATGCGATAACATGACGTCCGTTGTGTTGATCATCTGTGAAGGCAACAGTCGTCATTTACCATCAGGTTAACTATTTGTCAGATTATTTGCCATTCCAGTCATACAAAAAAATCTTTTACTTTTAAAGCTACATATCTAAGGGGCCATTTAATCGAAACAAATGAACGTACAGCAGTTACCTGATCGACAGGTAAGTCGACGGAGTGGTTGGTGTGGCGGGACACGGGCGGCGCTTCCTTGTACAGAGCCACTTCGTACTCAAGTCGGCCTGGTGTCTCTTCAACAACTCCAGACACGCGAGCTCCGTGTGGACTGCAAATGTACACTAAATATTAACATAATAATGATAATATAACAATATATTTCCGTAAAAACAATTCACAATGCGCCATATAGTCCTCAGTAAAATAGAGGTTGTATTATGGGTACTAGACGACTGATACAAATACATACATAGTTTTTTTTTATAAATACATGCACATATATGTAGAAAACACGCAGACTTATACAAAAAAATATGCTCATGAATACAAGTGTTTGTGCCGTGAGAGGAATAGAATTCGCGAGTACTCGCTACCATCGGAAGTATGGCGGAGTGTTAAACCTCTAGATTACCGAGGCCATAATAAAATACATATATATATATATATATATATATGTATGTATATATAAGAATTAAAATACTAGAAAACTCACAAAATATTAAAAATTCGTGGTTCGTGGATATTAAAAAAACAGATGAAGTCGTGGTTCTGCTCATTTATGGAAATAAATTCATTTAATAACTATGTATACTATTCATTAATTTACATTTATATAATATATACTCATATGGATGCAATGTTTATGTCTGTATCATAATGCTCTACATATAAACCTGTCACAATACTTACAAACTGCCGGCGAAACCCGCGGCCTTGTTTTCTATAATGGTGGGTTCAGGGGGCTTGCACATGATGATCAATTCTTGGTCAGACTGCATCACCACGCCCGGAAACTGTGGGAACCACACGCGGACATGGACGAATCCCTATCAGCAAAGCATAAGAAGAAATGTGTTATTACTTTCTGAAAAAATATATTAATATTTTAAGATAAGCTGTTGTAAAAAGACTAGGTATATATTTAATATCTATTAGAAAAAGAGCAATTTGGAAGTAACAGCCACTGCTAGTCTTTACTAGATAAAATAATAGTTGTGAATTTTTGCGAATAACTTTTGTTGGTTGTGTCGATTTTTAAATTTATTGTTAATTTTTAACTTTTCTACGTCTTCTATAGTAGCATCCCACATACTTATGCTAGTCGTAGATTAAATTAAGCTGAGTAATAATTATATAATTCAGCAGTCTTTGACATGTTTGGGTTTGAATTGATGGTAGTGGATTTACAGCGTACCAAAGCAAAAAATCTTAGTGCATTGCATGCATCCATTTTCAAAGTAATGCAATACTTTGAAAATGGATGTGAAATGCGCCATAATGTCCAGTAAATCATTGCTATTTCAATTCAACACATAATATTCTATTGCGGCATATATTAAATTAACGATCTTATTATTAATCATTCAGAGGGTGTAAAATATTTAATTTAATCGTATTTACAAGTTTAATAGATTACTCATTCCGTTATCATCTAAACAAATTACTTGCAGTAAACTGCATTTGCTTGATCTCAGGATACCGTATATGAATACAAACAAGTGTTTTAGTTTCTCTTTACCTCAATACTAAGTATAATGTTCAGTGTACCGCTCTCGGCGGTTGCTATTTAATGATATATTTATAGATGTATTATAGGCAACTTGTTGTGTAGGCCACTATACATCTCGTACTGTTAGTACATAACGGAATGCGTTATTATCTACCGATGACAAAACATCTGGTATGCCACGATTCACACTTGACGAAACAGAATCACAGCTGCGGAAACAATAGCTACCATCATTATCACACGGTGAGCTGGCAATTAACTACGAAATTTTTGATGGAAGTAATGGAATTCTTTGTTAAATGGTGTATGGTATCAGGTATATATTTATTACAGCCTATTTAACCTACTTACAGTACAGTATAGTAATACTTCTTCTTTTGTGAGTACTAGAAATATAAAAAACATTACAAGTTAATTGCAACTTCGAACGCTTTGAAAGTATTACATACATGGTGCTTAGTTATATTACCTACAGATGGGTCCTGACTTAAATTCTTATATAATAAATAAGTATATATTTAAAACTATTTTTTTGTTATAGAAACATAAATTAAACGACACTCATACACACGCTAATATTTTCCACGAGGTTAATTAACTACTCTAAATTCGTTTGTAAATATTAAATTTTCGATTATTCGTGGCAAAATAGAAAATCGATATTAATAATATCCAGAGAAATAAATAAATATCGAATAAGCAAATAACACAAAAGTAATTGAATTAGTAGCTATATTTAGTACTCACATTACGTTTTAGTACTCCGCATCTCGTGAAGTCAGTAATCTTAAGCCTATATAGTAATCCCGTGGGATCTTCAGATTCGGGTCTGATCTGACAGACGGAGTCGACTACCGGATCGGTGGCGCGGTCATCAGCGAATAACGGTGCTCCCCGGAATCCTTCTGGTTTTCGAAGCAACGCTGACACCGAGTCCCGAAGACCAGATCCTGTACTTGCAAATGTGCACTGGATGTCCGTAACTGAAATACAAATGTGTTTTCATTAACACATGCACTTTAATTTTTTATATGTAACAGAAAGGTGCCGTGATGGTAAGTTACAACCGCCCCATATAGTACATTAAGGTGCGAAATTTCATACTATAGTGTTATAATGCAAGCAAATTGTATACTGAGTAGCAAATATATGTACATTCGGACATACATATATACATTATTACTTTAATGTTCATACCAGGGTACGAGTAAGTATAGTAATATTGTATTCTACATAGGTTAACTTTAGTATAGACTGTCGTCTGTATGGAAACCTCTATCAAACTTCAAAGCGAAGCCGCTTGCTTTACACGCTGTTTTGATTGAGTGGTATATATGGCAGAGAAGTTATGGATAATGATGGACATCTTAGCCCTCTGGAATGACAACGCAGGAGGGGTACCATCATCGTAGCCATGACGACGTGATATCTCCGTAGTACTGCTCTTGCATTTAGTTGATGTTTGTCACTTACCACTGCGTTTGCGTGCAGCTTGTTCGCTTCATCTTGTATTATATATAAAAAACATCTTATTATATAGTAAACTCTGTTGCAAAAAAAGGATGTTAATAATTACAACTAAAGATAACAGACTGACGGATCTCAATAATAATTGAAACAACAGTTACAATATAGAGGTCGCATCTTAAATTGACTATATCATAGCTAATATATGTATATATATTTTATTGTTTAATTGATAGTACTTGTACAGTTCTGGTACTTACCATCGTAATCTTGTCCGAATGTAGTTCGTATCTGTAACAATAAGCATTGAATAGATTGAAGGAAGGAATACGGTATCTAATTAAACACTTAAAGTAATTAATTCCACTGTTTGAATGTAGTATTGTTATTTATGTTGAGATTCTTGCACAATAGTTTGAGATGATGGGAATTTAGTGTTCATATGAAGCCGATCATGTTACTGTATATAAAATAGAAGTCAAAGATATTTCACATATTGAATCGTTTTGAATGCATGCAAATAATAGTACGAACTTATTTATGTAGATACTGGAATGGTAAACAAGGTCACGACCCATCTGATGGTAAGTGATAACCATCGGCTAAATACATAAACAGCACTACGAACATTATCACATGAAATTCGCGATATCACTTGTGCGTTGCTATTCCATAGGACTAAGATGTCATCCAGTAATTTCGCGGCCTAGTCGCATTCTGCACCGAAACAGATTATGAGCATTTGCTTGGCGGCTGAAATAGACCGAGGATCCAGGCAGCTGATTTTTTTAAGTCTACCTCTGGTGTATGGTCTTTAGTACTGATATATGAATATCTACTAAAAGTACAGAGCTAATTGATTAGAAACATGACTACAGTACGAAAACCAAAATTTACCGAATCTTTTATTTACAAAAGACGGAAAAAAAAATACTGTACACCAAGAATACTATAGATCCTAATGGTATAAAATCTTAACTGTAACACTGAGAGATCCATGCATGGTAGGGGGGTAATGGGTTGTCATGGTGATTGGTAAGAACTATCTCGATTAAATCAGCGTCAAATTAATACAAACAATCAAGTCGAAAGTCAATACCAAGTCGGGCTCGTACACTATGAGGGTTTCTAACATATAATTTTATTTAGATATTAATCATAGTTAATACAACTATAATTACTTAATAGATAACTAGCTGTTACCCGCGACTTCGTCTGCGTAACACTTTTGAGATTTATCATTATATATTTCACCCAATATAATTAATATCTTTTTAAAATATATAGACTATGATTTATTCTAATGTATTAGCTGATATTAGTATGAAGTTTCATTATAATTCGTTTAATAGTTTTTGCTTGAAAGCGTAACAATTATCATTCCATCCATACTCACAAGCTTTTTATAATATTAGTAAGATTATTTAAATGTGAGTGTAGTCATTATTTTAAATATAACACATAAAATAGATGATAGTGACATAAGAAAAATATTTAAACACAGTTTTTTATATATGGACTAGCCTTATGTATTCACTGTAATAATACTGTAGCAGGTTGTTGAATGACAAGCTATGAAAAGTGGGCCAAATGGTATGATTTACTTAACATCCCGTTGCAAATACCCGCAGTCGCCTACAGCTGCAATGACTCAAAGCATTTAGTTATCTGTCTCTACATTTGTATGTAGTCATGCCGACTCTTATATTTCATTAAACTATAGTTTCAAGTGTGATTCTAGATTTTTGGTATAACTACTATCCCTCATTTAACAGCCATTTTCAAAAGAAGTTGTTGACAACAGTTCTTGTCATGATGTTGATTCGAAGCAACTATTATCTACATGTATCGAAACTCACATTGTAGGTACTTGGTCATTATTTAATTATAATCTCTTTATTATATAGGTACTGAAATTTAATTGAAATATGTATTTTTTTAACCATCGTAAATGCAAGTAGGCAGTCTAAAAATTATGGAAGTACATACTTTAATCAAATCGAAATATCTTTATTCATGTTGGTCTATTAGACACTTATGAATGTAGTGGAGGTACTATTCGATATGAAATACATAAAATAATAAATACTCCTATTAAAGCGGAAGTTTTGGAATGATAACAGTAACTACTAGCGTAGTTAATACTTACTATTAAACGAATAGACTAAACAAGAATAATTCAATTAAAACTGGACGTTTTTTAATATTTATACAAATATAATGTGAAGTGATTGTGACTTGAAAATATAATACCTAACTAGTGATAGTATTTTAATGGAAATAGTTGTCGTAACTCATCAGATAATGTTTTGGTTTCTAGTAAAGTATACGTCTTAGAAGGTTTGTAAGTGAAGTACAATCGGCTTCATAAATATATTGAGCACAGAGTGGTCAGTAGATTGTCAGCCACAAAGTTTTTAGCATTTAATATTTTATTCTCTGGTTTGGTTCAATAAAAAGTTTGTAATTTAGTAAATAAAATAAAGTCAATAATATAATAACGAACTATATACATAACCTCATGTTACGTTACTACTTTATATACATATTACTAGCAGACCCAGCCACGCATTGTGGCTTACAGTTTCTTTATACATATATTAAAATAATTTGCAATAAAATACTATTGCGACTATAAATTGAGATGCGACTATATATCCTATCTTTAAAGTGGGATCGAATTGCACACAATGTGCAAATCAAATTTGTAATCGGTTCAGTAGAGTCCATCGCGGGCAAACATCGTGACACGTATTTTTATATAAATATAAAAGGAGATTCTTTCTAGTGTGTTAATTTAAATTTGAGTATATCTTTCGAGGAGATTGTTAATAACTGTGGCAATAATATAATTATATGGTTATTCTGATATATGTACATTATATATAAATAAAATATTGTATTTATATCCGGACCTAATTTCTTCGTAATATTGAAGCTGACGGTACCTGCGGTTACAAATGAAGCGAACCATACCACATCATTTGGTCCGTGAACGTGAGGTCGGCTAATGCTCTCGCGTTGAAAGTAAGTCGATTTTATAGTTTACCTCGTGTTACACTTCGGCAGATCGTATTATTGTAATAGTATACAGTACATTGCCGATTTAGTTTAGGAAGCTTCAACTGGCTTATAAATTAGACGGGTAAAAGAGAACGTATCCATCACAAAATGTCTCGATACAATCTATTTACGGTGAAAACATAAGGTTCGTTAAACAACAAAAAATATAGTGCGACTTAAGTGCATTAGGCGAAAAAAGTAGACAATTATAAACAAAATGCTAGACAAGAAAATGTGCATTTTTATATCCCCTTCTATATCCTTATATTTTATAACCCCTTCGTTTATAGGATTATTTATTTAATATTACAAATCTGTATAGAAATTCTTATATAAATATTTTGAAAGAAACCTATGTGACATTTGTTTCATAGAAATCAGCTATACTATCTATATTCTCTTCCAAATTGGAAAACTTGGTTGTATTTAATGAAATAAAATATCTTTTATGATAAAGATTTAAGGGTCAGAACTGATAGCAAATTTGCAGTTTTTTTTCTTCCTTTAACAAGAGGCTAGTAAATTTGCAGTGGTAAAATCTTGTCATTTCAAATTGACAGATTTGTAATTTTGTAGATACAAATTGAGGCCATTCATTTTCTTTACATTTTTTTACGATGCAATATGTAAATCTACGTATTATAACTTATACTGATTTAAATACTATCCTTAATTAACCAAATATTATTATACGCTTGCCTAAATATATGTATTGTCGGGATAAAAATAAAATAAAAGATCCCGTTTATATTTCTTCTTCCAATAATAATACTCTATTAGTTAAGATACATTTATAAGGAGTGTTGATGATACTGCTCTACAGTATCGTGTCTATACTTTTTTAAACGGAAACTCGAAACGAATAAACTATTAAATTTATTCGTAATTGCGTAATTCGCTTGTGACATATATAAACATAGTATTTTCATATATCAATATAATGAAGGTATTTTGTTTCTGTGATTTTAGTCGTGTCTTTATTAAGATGTAATATGAACGTGGCTTTAGGACCGAGGTCAAACGGCTGACCGTTGGCATCGCTTGTGCGGAAACAAAGATCGGATGTTGATAATCACTTTTACTGGACGCTTGTATGTAAATTTGTGCAGATAGATTAAACGGTTTCTTTTAAAACGGCGCAGTGTTCTGATTATTGGGCGTGAAAAAGTTACTTTTGTGAATAGAAAGAATGAAATTATTATTAATGTCTCGCGTTGATTTATTCACTCAGGAGTTAGAGACGTTTTTCCGTTTTCTAGAAAAACGTCTCACTCAGGAGGAGTGAATAAATCAATAATAATAATAAAAAAAGTTACTGTATTGTGGATTGTGAGCTCATTCAAGTAATAGTATTTCACTTTATTAATTTAATAAAAAGAATTTTTATCATTAGTCCACTGCTGGTACTCCCATTGCACGTCACTGGGTATCAAAAAGAACTATATAACATACAGCTAGAACCAGTAATAATCAACTCAAGTTACTGCTGAGATATTCAGTTTGTGAACTGCTATCTAATTGTCTTATTTACAGTGTTACTTCCTTAATTTGTAGATAAGATGTGGTCGTTTATAGGATTGTCTCTCATGAAACTTGTTCCCAGGTGATTTTATATAATTGTGGCGGTTTCTTACTTAATTAGGCTTTTAATTCTTCACACTTACATGTAATTTAATTTAAACGCTAAGCTACTAAAATTATGATATTTCAAATAAAATGTATTTATATATTAAAGATCCCATTATATTATATATTTAAATATTAGAGATAAATTAGATAAATTTCTGTATACTAAAGGGGTTATTAAAATTTGTATCAAGGGTTTATTATCCACAGACTTCGTGCTCTTATTATGCTTATTACTTAAATTATTAAATTTTGAGTAAATCAATAAATCGATTTTGCCCAACCATACAACGATCTGTAATGAATGAGTATATAATCTTTATTACCATATAAAAACCTTTTTATGGATGTCAATATATTAATATAAAAGTAAAATAATATTAAATATTAACCAAAATTAAGTGTTAAGTCGGAATTGCATGATTAATTAAATTTATTTTAGGTTTTGAGTCAATATGTACTTGGTAGCTATCAGGTATAATTTACTATTTCGTGTAATTTACTATAATTTACTAGAGCCACCCTTCAATCTTCACTATCCTCAGTTTCAGCTCCGTCACTACCAACTTTCATCCTATCTATACTTATAAGTCTTGGTGGATTGTATATGATTGTAGATGATTGGATATGATATATGTGTATTTCATCTATTTTTAATGCTTCCAGAACAGTCACGAGGTTTTTCAATCCTCTTCCATTCTCATTACGATTTTATATGTATCTATTGTAATTTATCCTATTGTCGGTGAAATAATTGTCACATCTTGACTTTTAGATCACACAGACAAACATGATTTAACTAGACTGACAATTAATAATACGGTAAGTAAAGCTTTAGTACGAGTAGCTTAAAGATTTTATTTTTGTTATATATTAATTCATTACAGTTCGTTGTATGGTTTATAAGGGATTTGTTTCACTTTTTTTCAGAAAATATATTTTTTGGACCTCTATGAATAGCGCCGGGTGGTGCATGACCCATGCATGACATCGTATTTCTCCATAATGGTAACGGTATGTGTTACCATTGCGTAGGACTATGATGTCAAGTCCATAATTTCCTCAATAATTCCTCCATAAGTTCACTAAGTGAAATGAACTTTTGCTTGTTTTCAAATCAAGAATTCAGATTATGCACATTGAACATTTTCCGTTGCAATCTGTTGCTTGCACGCATATTATTGTTCTGTTACGTTCGACGCGGTAATTGATTATCGTACGTGGGGCATGCGAACTCTATCATAGGTACGAAGCGCATGACTTGGTTTTATAGCTTGGATGGGATGGATACATATAGACATTGCACTATACAGACTCTACAGAACGTAGAACAGGTACTGAATATTGGACTTGAAATGGCGAACATAATAAACGCAATAATTTTTAGTAAGGAAACGTTACGGAAAGTGAAATTAATTTTCCTGTTACTTGTACGTATGTTGAGATAATTACATATATTTTAACGCACGTTGAACATAATTACAATACTAGTGAGTATGAATTTAATATATCTTCAAATTAGATCACTAGTCTCAAGACATATACTGTTAAAATATTTTTGTTTTTCAAATTAATTTTGTTCTTATGTCACAAGATTTTGAAAATATAAAAGGATTGCATGTTAACTGGCCAGGTACTAAATATAGTAGATATGTTAATTTTTCAGTATAACTGCAGGAGTGAATGCAATCATATCACTCTACCCTCGCTTTGTTTTCTTCTTGTTGTCTTCATAATTCGCCTTAAATTATATATTTTTCCTCGCCTTATTCACTCTATAATATTTATAACAATCCGAACCTGCACGTTTCTTTAACCTATGTACTATATTCTCGATATAACCAGATTGAATAGTTAATAGGAATATTAAGAGATTTCAACTTGAAACTGTAATACGAGGACACAGTATAACAGATTCGTCAGATTTCTAACGTTTTTTAGATACTTAGCCCATTCATACGCAGGAAAGTATAGCGACAACTGCCCATTAAATTCAGCTCCGCTTTATAAAACTTTTTTTAGCCGTTTCACACAAATCTCAGAGCGTGAAATTTAATTTTATAAACGGTTCCAATCACGTGGTCACAATAACTAGTCCAGGTCAATCCGTGTATATTTACGGTACTACGAGATATACTATAATGGTCACTAGCTTAGTTGCTATTGTCATCCTTATAGCTATGGATTAAGGATAATTATAGAGTTATCAACGGTACAGATCTGTGTCACTCCATTTCTCTTAAATATGGTCCGTTGAAGAAAGTTAGAAAAGTGTTCAAATTTATTTCTTAGTGGTATGGACTGCCTTTTTTAACGATGATTAATAATTTAATGGTGATCTTGTCAGCACTTATGGTAGATATATTCTGGTGAAATATGAGTAAAGGACAAAGCTTTACATTAAAACCTGGTCACTGAGTTCAATATGATTAATTCTAACGTAATAGTAGACATCATAATATACCTTATTAATGCAAATGCCGAAGTTATAGTACTTATTTGCAATATTAAATTCACAAAAATGAAATAATGTCATGTACATTATTTAATTTGTGCATTAATGTTAGTCAGCTTACCTATACATTTACATCATAGTAAATTGATTGTCATTTTTTTAAATGTGCACTATTTATGCACTATATTTTGTCAAGTTTAAGAAGTGAATGTTCTAAGATCTTTCTATTAGGCGGCAGTAGATTTAGGATTGTCAATTGTTCTAGTTCATAATTCTCACATGGGTATTACCGAGATTAGACTTAGCATGAAATCATGAATGTTGCCTATGAAAACAACTACATCATAGTTTGTGTTCTATAAATGAATAATAGAAATGATTCGGATCAGTGCCCCGAAAAAACCCATAAAGTTTACCTCTGTAATATCAAAGTATAGATTAAGATATCTTGCTCTATTCGAATGCCAACTGCTCTATATTTAGTGAATGAATCGCCTAATTATGAATATAGGCATTTATGTTAGCCTGTCTTTAGGAAATCCTAGAAATCCTATACTATAAAAAAAATATTTGTTTAAAATTATTATGAAGCTGATAGTCATGTTCTATAGATTTGCTTTGTGATAGGAAAATAAGTATTTATTGGTAGGTACTTTAATTTCGTATACTTGAACTGTACGAAATTAAAGTACCTAAATATAGATCAAAAGTTTAATTACATTTAATTTAATTTAATTTGATTTATTTATTTCTCCTCACAAACATGATGGCAACAATACATGTAGTATTATTATTATTTATACTTAATTTGTTTACTTTTATTTACTGTATGTATGAAACTGTGTCGATTATCCATTTTAAAAAAAACCGGTGGTTTGTTAGTAAATTTACAGGATGTAATGCACATATGATATACTGTACTGTTTATGAGCTGTAGTGTATGCTTACCATCAGGCAGACTGTATACGTATAGATACGGTATATATGTGTACTTTGAGTACATTAATAAAAAATACATAAATTGGAGAGAAATTGTTAGCCTCTACCTATCTCTAGTAAAAGATAAGGTGTATTAATTTGATCTGAGTATTGTCCTTGACTTGTCATAATATATAAGTCCTCGATAATATTATCACTGTGAGCGATATATAAGAAGTTCGATTCTGGTCCTAACTGGTCCGTGTAACTTCGCCTGCGTCACCCTTCCCCCAGTTTTTGCCACATTTTTCACTGCAGCTTCGCCCCTATTGGTCATAGCGTGATGTTATATTAACCTATAGCCTTTCGAAGCCTTTAGCCTTAGAAAGAATTTTCTAAATATTTTCTGTAGCTCCTGAGATTATTCTCTACAACCTCACCATTTTATCTCTTTATAATAAGTATAGATTAGTAGTTAAGAACATACTAGTAAGAAAAGCACGAGAGTACAGGCGCAGACGCTGGCACTCGTCATGCTTGTGGTCTGCCACACTCGAGCGCGGAGCCAACCGTTAATATTATCTGCCCCGATTACGTTACTGACGCTACTACAAAAACTCCAACTATAATTCTGTTACTATGTTTACTATAGACTATATGTAATAAATCACTTCAATTCTTATATTCCAACACTGCCACAGTAAACAAAAGTTCGTACGAAATTAGCACCGGCACCACAAATGCGATTAGCTGTATTTCCCGCGCGTGTTACAATATGCATGTGCGACTGTCTTTGAACAGCAGCTAAAGCGGATCGCGTGGTGCGCCTGCGACGTCTTGGTACGGGACTGCGCGGTGGTGCGCTCGGCTTGCTCTGTTGATGATGGTGGAACAGTTAGCCACGGCCGGGGAGGGAACCACCTGTTCGCCTGTACCTTATCGTTCTCACGACACGATCACCGATCCGCCTCGCAATTCGGCAATCTCGTGATCTACATAGTTGATTGGCATCGGATTAGGACAGAATTGGGTTCTATCGTTCGTCGACGCGTTCATTACCGTGACATTCGCGTGGAGAAATTGCGGAGTTTGTGATTGAATGACAGATCGATGCAGCGCGGTAGTTGATACTCTGCGATCAAGTCATCAGTGTTGGCTGTGTGTGCTCCTATCTCTTCATCGACAACTACGGCCGTAGGAAATGATCGTATGATTAGATAGTTAAATAGCTTTATTTTTGACTGAAGTTATTGAGGCTATCGATATAATATAAATTGAAACCGCTGTAGAAAGCCAATCGAGTTCATATTAAATGACTATGTACCTATCATAACATTGTATAATTTTTGTACCGTTCTTTTTCATATATTGTTTTTGCTATTAAACTCTTATAAGAAAAATATATTGTAAAGGCTGATTTATAATTTTATTTTAAAAGTTTTGTTCACAGTATCAGATGCCTATATTTAAGAAATTGACATCTCTATTAAAATTCCTTATTTACTTAAATAATTGATAAGACAAGCACAAAAAAATATCTACTTATCATTAGATACTATTAGTATTTATTTATTTTATTTTTTTCCTTTTAGATCTTGCAATCAGTCACATGGACTATAAGCAGATGTGGTGTACCGTCTGTAACAGGTAGAGTGCTGCTCTCAGTAGAACAGCTCCTCGCTCTTAAAAAGTCAGTCCTGTCTGACTATCTTGGTCAAATATATCACGTCTTTTCTTTAAGTTGCCCAGCGAATTTATTTGGGTGCCTGTGTAGTCGTGATTTGTATTTGTTGCTGTAGTCATCAATTACATCCTTAACCATGGGGATATCAAGTAGTTTGTGGATCTCAGTTGTTTTTATAAACCATGGTGCATCCAAAAGTTGTTTCAATATATAGTTTTGAACTCGTTGTATTGTCATTATGTTGGAGTCACTAGCAGAGCCCCATAGTTGTATCCCATATGTCCAGATTGGCTTAAACATTGCCTTGTAAATCTGGACATATGGGATTAGTAATTTAGTTTTATATTATTCGGTGTAATAATAATAATAATCTCAGGACAATTCACACAGCGCCATCTAGACCCAAGTTAAGCTAAACTAAAGCTTGTGTTATGGGTACTAGATATCTGATACAAATACATAAATATTTTGTTTTCGTAAATGAATACATATTATACATAGAAAAAACCATACCGATACAAACAATCATACTAATGAATACAAATGTTTGTGCCGTGCGAGGAATCGAACCTGCGACCATCGGACGTAAAGCGGTGTGCTAGACCGCTAGACCCCGAGGTCGTCAAATCGTCGTCGTAATGTAACATAAAGTCTTCATTCTATTCGTTGTAGCTTAAGTAGTTTAAGTCTACCTGACTTAAACTACTTAGTATTAGGCCATATAAATGATAATTATTTGTATGTAATGTCCCGAAATACTAGTTTAAACCTACTTGAATACATTTTTATATTAAACTACGCATATTTCGCGTTTGTTTTATTATCCTTATAACACTCGTTTAATACAGAAAATTTGATTTGTACTTTGCCTGAAATAACTATTGTAAACACAACAGCTAATAGAGTCAAGCTGGCAGGTGGCTTTCGCAGCTGACGATGCAACAGCGTTCAGCCGTAACAATACGATGATCTGCGGTCATGTCCTTTACATTTTTTACACAACAGCAACATTTGTCGGGGAATATTACGGATTTCTCAGTTAACTTTTGCGGATAAATGAAAATAATTTGCTTTCGTTATATGCTTGCTTTATATTATGAACAAATCAATTAAGTACACTGAAAGAAATAAACAAGAACATTTAAAAGTACATGGCTATAAAAAGTATAAACAAAGAGATTCAATCTTCAGTAACATGTCTTTTAAAAAAATATTCGTAATTTTTTTTTCTATAACTGAATACCTAGACATACCCACTCACATACTATGATGTTTTATATTGTATGTGTTATATGGTATTGCAAGAATAATGTAATTTTATTATTATGTTTTTATAACTAATAATTTATTGGGAATCTTTTTAGTGTTACGATTGGTCTTGGTGCATATTTCAATAAACTACGTATATATAAGGTAATGGATTAGATTGTGCAATCTTGCCATAATAAGTCATGAAGAATAATAACAAAATTAAAAGTAAAGACATTATGAAAAACAGGTGTTAGATAACGGTTCTATACTAAGTTAACACTAAGGTATCGTTGAAAAAAAAATCTATGCAATAATGAAGTAAAAAGTTGTACAAGATATTTCATTATAATTTAATATATAGTTATTAACGAATGTGACCTTTGTCTGTTGGTATGTAAAGGCACAGATAAGAGAAGTATATCTGGTATCTGCACAGTTTTGAGATGAATATTTCTGATAATAGCGGCAGTTTGCGTGCCAAATTTAACCTAATATTTTACCCAAAAGAGTCACGACTGATGTAAAAAATATTCCTAAAGTAACACATCATTTTAAAAATTGGCATCGTTTTAGAATTGCGCAAAAAGTGCAGCGATAGTTTCCCCATTCATAGCTAACAATGACTTATTCAATTTTGAAATGAACTAGAAAATTTAAACGACTATTTTACTATGTTTTACATGATATGCTCTATTTTCATGCAATGCCTAAAAGAAAGGAGCTCTCACTTGAATACTACATGTATTTATTTATATAACATCATTGCATACATATAATAAAAAAGTCCTTATGGTATTTTATATATTTTCTTTTAAATTTAAAACACACTACAAAGTTAACAGCGAATTCAGTAATGAGTGCTAGTTTACATATATTGAAAAATGTTACCCTGTTGCGATAGAATTTGAATTACATTTGCATAACAAAATTAAAGAAAGACAAACAACAAAACAAAATCAACAAAATCAAAGAATTATTCTTTGCATATTTAATTTATGGTAAAAGTGTTAATGACAGTCTATTAAGTTGTATCTTTTGCATTTTTAATATAATATAGATAAATTAATAGAAAGCTTTAAAAATAATATATTATATTGTATGAGCTAGTTACTATAACTTTACAACATTGGTGACGATAAAGAAAATAACTCTTCATTACAGTTCAGATGTTGGTTTAAAAAAATGTACCAACTAAAAATCCTTTAAAATAATGTAGTACCTAAAACTAATATAGTCAAATGTACCATTGAAAAGGAAGTATTATAAATCTCTCTAGTTCCAGACAATGTGAACATAATGACACGACTAGGGTCTGGTTGAGGACATGATGTCACGGAAGAGATTTTCTGTGATGACAGTTCTGCACAATTTTGTAGTCAAACGAGCTGCGCAAACACACACGACATATGTCAGTCTCTGGGAATTGTGTTTAAACAGGTTGTGTGACATGTACCTACCCCTAACGCGTAAATGCTTTCTGTTTGTATAGTACAGTAGAATAAAATATCTAAATTTATACAATACATACATAAATCTTATGTTTTAAAATAATACAGCGAATATAATGATGATATAATGAAATACGAATAAAGAATAATATTTATCACATCAGTTTTTGAGATTTGCTTTTAGATATCTATTGGTTATTATTTGTAACTACAGTATGATTCAGGATTCTAATATCTAATTATCATATAATAATAATTATCTAATTTTTGTACAAGGCGATTATTATTAAATAGAAATATATCAGTACATCTACGGTAACTAGACGAAACCCTATGTGCAATTTATTAAGTCAATGGGAAGAAGAAACGGGTGGTTTTCCATTGTTCACAACCCGAATATATACGACACATTCACGGGAAATATAGAGAGAAAAATGATTATCATTTATTTCTTTCTTTATAAACATTTTGAGAGTTATTGATGTTTTTTTTAAGTGTTCCAAGAATCAGATATTACAAAAACGTTAGCGATTACCACCTATTAACCAGCTAACTATAACCGCCTAGCCATCGCTGTCTAATTACAATTACAACTGAGTGTAAGCAAAACGGCGCGTGATATCGGGTCGTTCAATGGAAATAACATATGTATTGCACGTGCCATTGCAGAGTTTTTTGCCGCCATTACGCCCGACGGGCACGCTACGCGTCGAATCCTAGGATCGGTACATGTTCCGTGTATTATTGTGTCCATAATAATCTGATCATCATCTTTATACATTCATGTCAATTCCGGGTATTGGCTAGCTCATAGTCGAGATATTTCTCTCGGAAATTAACGTGAATGATCTATGTATAAATCTACAAAAACTGTCAAATTGAGAAACTGTTTTAAGTATAAATATCTTCCGATACCTAGCATATTTGCATGGTTAATATTACATTAATTAGCAGGTAGTGATAAAGAAATAACAGTGATTGATACCTAAGGTATCTTCAATATTGCAGGCGTTAAATGGATGAACGCTTGTACTAAAATTAATGTATTATATCCTTACAGTAATGTAAAGTGTGCCCGGTACGCAATACATACAACCGCTAATTTCCACAGAAAACTATATATAAACCACACTAGTGAATGACATGGTGACTACTGTTGCTGGTGTCCTATTCCTGGTTTAAGATGACTGTTTATACACATTGTATGATATTCATGTAGGCATATCTAACAGTCTTTGCCCAGAGAGACCATGGTAAATAAAGTTAGAGAACTAAGTTCGTAGTTATCTATTACACTAGAGACGTGCCCAGCTTGGCACGGGTGTATTTATTGTAGGGATCTCTATATTTTTCGTCGACCCGAAATAAATGAGATAAGGGAGAAGCAGATGATGATTGTAATTAACCTATACATCAGTATAGGTTAATTACTGACAGGCCTCGATAGGCT